CCCGACATACAAGTGGATTCATCCAACCGAGAAGAACCCCACACATCACAATACTACACGGTTTGTTGTGCTGAACAGAGACCGAGTGTACCGCAAAGGAGACGTTCTTACGGCGGTCATAGTGGCGAGAGATGTCAGGGGAAGACCTAAGACGTACGGTGGAGACTTTTTCCGCGCGAAGCTTGTCAGTATCCGGCCTGGGGAGGCGAGCTGCGCCGGGCACGTGACCGACCATGGCAACGGTACCTACACGGTGCAGTTCCCGCTGTACTGGGCAGGGGGCGTCAGGGTGAGTGACATAAAAAATCAACAGGTGGATATGGTACAATGCAGTGTTAACTTGAATGTCCACTATGGTGGGTGACAGGGTGACTAATTCTTGTATTATTACCTACGGGGAATGATATATCCTTCCTCAAAGAGGCGTTGTTTTTATCTTAGTTTGTGTGTTCGCAGCTAATAAGCGGGTTTGACTGTCACAATATTCATTGCATACTTTGAATCTCAGACCTCTTGTTCTCTTTAGGTGTTGATCCAGCTTGTCCACCCTAGCGAAGCCGTGAAGGTACTGCAGCGCGTGCGAGACGTCCCGAACAAGAGAATATTCTTCTGCTCATTCGTTGACGCCAGAACGAAAACCTCTGCGCGTCGGCAGTGTTACAGCTCTAAACCAACAACTCTACGACCACGCCAGTTATGCGATTTTTCCAGGAAGCTCGAGAGTGGAGGATTATTTTGCAAGAAACCCCCCTCCCTTCCCTGCTCCAGTATCTTCACATGCTTTTGGGAGGGGAATATGACCTATGACCGGGTCAAAGGTCTCGTTTCGCCAACGGAAAGGAGACTCTTCCGAAGGTATTATTCACATAAAATGTTTAATTCACAGCCACTTGTTTAAGAAGGGCCGACGTTTCAATGGCCGTCTGTCATCTTTAACAGGGCAATTATGTCTAATCAATTATTACTGGTCTGAAAAGATGACAGGCGGTCATCGAAACCTCGGCTGTTGTTAAACAAGTGGTCGTGCACATAGAAATTCTCTAGTCAATCATTCAACAACCTGATGAAATTATTTACAGGTATAATTTAAAGTTTTCTGTGTTTTCTGTTTCCTACTGACTCTTCGGTTGTATTCCAAGTATGAAACTACACTAGCTAAAAAAACTGACTAGTAACGTTTAAAAATTAGATTACAATGAATGTTAGAAACCTTTAGACGTATCAAATTCTATTTAAAGTTTTGTTATTTCACTATTTAATTATGACTACATGTCTTACTTATCTTTTGACGTTCGAATCCCCCTATACAGTCCTTTCGTAGAGGCAGAGCTAGAACAAGACATCCCAAGACCAATACAAGTCAAGGAATCATCACAACAGACTAAGATTCTTCCCAAGTGTTTTAAGAACAAGCCTGGCGCCTTTAGCCAAGGGTACTGGTCAGGAAACGTCTGGAAGTCTTCGGTCTGTAGAGTCCGTGTTTTTGAGAAGAAGGACGTGACACGGTGCCTTGCTAAGAAGACTGTCCACCTGCAGGGTGATTCTACCCTCCGACAGTGGTACTTACGGCTGGTGAAGCTTGTACCACTACGCAGCCATGGAAACAAAGTTGTAGGTCCGACAATGTTTCCTTTTTGCAGAGATTATATTTTGCTATAATTGTTTTGGTTTGTAAAACTAAAATTTCATCTGTGGGTAAAGATATGTTCAAATAGAATCTGATACAAAGAATTAAAGTGAGTGACCTGGGCCAGTCAACGTCTGTCACCATGGTAACTTGTGCTGTAGCAGACACCCTGTGATCTTGATTACATTATGTAGCAAGTTGCAGGATAGTTAGAGAGGCTGGTCATAACCATACAATGCCATGTGTGTTTGAAAAATAAAACATAGCAGTAGTTTATTATTAATACTTAGCTAACACAAGTCACTTTCCCATTTTAGGTCCGGCAAAAGCTGTTAACAGACGTTGGAAGATGATCGTCCACTACCGATTCCACGGCTATCCTATACAAGGAGCGACAAAGTTGAATTTCCGCCAAGTTCAGTACGTCTCTGATTTGCTGGACTCAATTCGTGGCGGCCCAAACACGGTCATAGTTCTGGGTCTGTGGGCTTATTTTGCTACAGAGCCTCTAGAGTTGTTCCGGGCTCGACTTCACGCCATACAGAGCGCCATACACCGTCTTCTTCAGCGCAGTCCGGGCACACGGGTGTTCGTGAGAACTGGAACAACGCGGGAACACACAGGCTCCAGAGTACAGTACTACTTGCTAGGAAGTGACTGGCTGGCGTTTCAAGTAACCCAAGAAATAAGGAAGGCATTTAGGGGAGAAAACGACGTGGTGGTGTTGGACACGTGGGACATGAGTGTGTGTCAGTGGGAACAAGACAACATTCACCCAGGAAAAATCATGGTAGACAATCAACTCAATATGCTGCTCTCCCATATATGTCCTCAATAACAACATAAACCCTGAATAGCAAATTCTTCAGTCGCAACCACTTGTTTAACAAGACTCAACGTTTCGACGACCTTCTGTCATCATCAGGAAAATTGTCCTGGCGGTCATCTAAACGTCGGTCTTGTTAAGTTGTTGTGAATAAAGAACTACCAGTCATTAAAAACATTAAGCATCACGTTTTTCTTTTACAATTCCTCATGTTGAGAATTTATATATATACAATCTGTAAGATATGTACATTTAACCGTCCGTCTTTCTTGATGCTTTGTTTGATGTTTTTACCTCTCGGCACACTCTGCCCCTGACGATGACATCGAATCGCTTGTTTCTGTTTCGTCAATAAAACATGTGTCGTCGGCACTGACCGTGCTGTCCGTACTCAAACTCGAGGTTAGTACCTCAACAACCAATGGCGTCTGTGCAGTGTCGTCTTCTGTACTTGAATCGGAATCGTCGTCTTCTGTTTCTACTTCTTCAGCCGATTCCGCGACGTTGTCTGTGATTGTATCAGGTTCTGTATCCTCTTTGAGGAGAACGTCTAGAGTGAAATCACTCTCTGTGTCTTTCTCTGTAAGCAGTTCTTCTTCCATCCTGGTGAGCGCCAGGTCGGCGTTAGCAGCCCGTCGTCGTTGTTTTATTGTTGACATGATCTGATGCACGGCGCCGACTATGGTCATGAGGAAGCAGAGAGAGACGAAGACCGGGCCGATGATGTTGAGCGGCACGATAGGCCGGCCGTACAGGGTGAAGGCCAGGAGCGTCATGAGGATACTGGGGATGAGGAGGACGGTACCGCAGATGAGCGGACACTCTCGCCCGCACTGCAGCTTCCCGGCGTTACCACAGGTCTCATGTTTCAGACTGGACTGCCTACGTCTGCGAAACGGGCTCCCCATTTCACCATCTTCCTCGGTAAGAACGGCATGGGTGTCTTCACGCATTAATGCATCCCTTTCTCCTTCGTTTTCTACTTGCAAGTCTCTCTCATCTTCCTCTATAGTGTTACAAGGGTCCCATGGACTGCTTACTTCGCATTCTTCAGTTATCTCTTCAACGTCCTTGCACGTTTCTTCCTGACGTTCTACCTCCGGTTTGCCGCCAAGTTTGCAGGACCGGCAGTGAACAGGCAGTCCTGCGGACCCCTTAGCACGGATAACACAGCAGCCCGTCTTTTTTCTGATCTTTTCTTGTAGCTGTAAGTACTGCTGAATGTCTTGAGCGTTGTCGTAGAGACTAATGCCTGTGTTGTTTTTGCGGTAGTGGCGACACGAAGGTTTGTGTTTGACGGTCTCCTTGCTCTTGCTGCTTTCCCGAGTCTTGTTCTTGACTCTACTTCGGGAACGTGAACGTTTTCGGGCGGTGTTGTTTCTCGTCTTCCGCCGTCCGGCGTTTCGCTTCTTCCGACGAGACTTCGGGGCCTCGCGGTGTCTGTAGCCGATTGGAGGCATCTCGAGTCGAGTGGAATCGTTCCTCAGCTAACCGACGTCTTCGCACTGTAGTCATTCCTCAGGAAGCCATCTGTAGCAGCATGTTTTCCATTTAGAACCTTCAGTCACTCAGGCTAGTTTTGCCGATGTCGATTCTTCAGATCGGAGGCATCCTGCGTGAACTTGCCGCGTAACAACCCCCAAAGAATTCGCCGCTTGACCACAGATCTACAGAGGACTCCGCTGTCTTGTGTTGTATATCCAGGCGAAAAAGGAATCACAAAAGGTGAATTTCAAATCACTGGAAACAAAATGAGCCTTTCTTCTGATGATGTTAAACAAATCACCCAGGTAGTATCCGTGCCTTATAATGCTCATCTTCCTCTAAATTTAAACATTTTACGTACATTCTACGTAGGCTATAATTCACTGATAACGTAAAATACAAAGCATTGTCCTTGGATTACAGTCTTTCGTTGATCAAAGGTGTTGGAGTGCAAATCTGACTTTGTCGACTTGTTGTAGGACAGTCGCGCTTACAAAGCCGGTGCACAGTGAACTGTCTGAGGCATTGTTTCGAAAGGTCGTCCGCGTCAGTTCGTCTGAGACTGTAATTTATAACCCATCTCTCGCACCGTGCTGTGCACAATGTATATTGAGTTGAAGGCTATGAATGTTTTGCTTGAATAACTCACATCAATGATACGTCAATTCGACTGGCCTGTACAACATTGACCTTTGCGTGATTATTCATTAATTATGATATAATTATGGCATGATATAATCTATGGGATGTAGGGTAGTACAAGGACTGTTCCGATTTACTGTCGAAGGATGATTATGATGACATTTTACTAGTCTCCATCAGACCAACAATACTGGCTACGAAGTAGTAAAATTAATCCAGATAATGAGAATAATTTGCCTGGGGAGTTTGGCCATCAACTTTATTTTACCCACAACGCGAGCCCACTATTTTGGCGAATTGTTTTTTACTGTCCATAACCCCTTTGGAAGGCCTGTTGGAGGCTAATATTCTATGTCAATTTATCTATATTTATGTATCAATAAATAAGATTGCATCACTAGACATTTACCAGGCAGAATATTTCACACACAAAAAGCAAAGTTTATTGTCATACTCCGTACTAACTCATAGGATTCAATATAATACATACAAATATTAGGTTTTCTTACACTTTCGATGGATCTTTCCATACAAATAAATACGCAACAAATCCTATGGGCTAAGGCCTGCCTTGCAGCGTTTCGACGCTAGGGGGCAGTAATGTCTCTACGTCTATAACTCTACCAATGCCTCCAATCTTTTAATATTTTTCAAACTACAAGAATCGCACGTTATAACTCAACTCTTTGAGTTTGTAACTGACAGTAACGGCCGACAATATGTAAAATAGCTATCTAACGTTTGTCATGCAATACGGGAAAAAATTAAATAGATAATCCCTTATATGAACTGAAGAATTTAATATTTCTATCTTCAGCACAAATGATGTGAGTGTTGCTACGTATTTTGAGTGGAAAAGTCCGCTATCCTATGTAAATTTACATCATAGTTGGAACCGCCTATATAGAGACTACGTTATACTTGGGTATGTTGTTTGATCTAGACAACCTCATACCTTTGTAGCAAATTGTAACGAGGTGGAACGATTTTAGCACTAGTCGTAAAGCAAACAGAGTTTACTTAACTTAGATAAGACAATTTGAACGCTATTTAGAAAGTATGATGTTGACCCCGACTATACGTTCTGTTACTCTCCAAGTAGAGGATGGTTGGGAAGATTGTGACCTTTCTATCATATGACCCTACTCTCCACAACCGACAGAAAACGGGGCATATGATAGTTAGGGCATAATCTTCTCCACCAACCTCTGCTTGGATAGAATGTTTCTATCTCCACATTAATTTCTCTCTGTGAAGACGTTCTTGAGAACTTTAGCCTATTGCGGACTCAAGGACAGTCTCAGTTCTTCAACTTATAGCACTGGTCTAAGCAAACAGTTTTCTTAACTAAATAAGACAGTTTGAACGTCAGTACGGGAGCTTGATGTTGACCCCCGATTATCTGTTCTGTTTCTTTCTCTCCGTCAATTTTTTTTCTTGAGAACATTAGCCTACTGCGGACGCCAGCACAGTCTCAATTCCTCGCTCGACGCCTTCGAGATACTCGAGCATGGGCCGGTTGGTCTTGTGCTGGTAGTACCGCGTGCGGAAGTGCTTGTCGTTGATCGTTCGCCGCACGTCGTCGCGGACGCAGTCGGGCAGGTAGTACAGCACCCTCCCCATGTCGGTCCCTAGCAGGATCCCGGCTTCCGTGTACGTGCCGTCCTGGACCTCCTTGTACGTCTTCTCCATTTTCTCCGTCAGGAGGCTGTACATAAACTCGTACATCGCCACGTAGTCTTTGTGGGCCATCGCACCTGGTGTTGTTAAACGGGGGAAGAAGGGTGGACACAAAGAGAGGGACGGGACACAAAGAAAAATTCAGTGAGATGTTCTATTCTTGAATACTCTCCGCGTACAAATGCTGTTCTTGAAGAATTACACATGTATCCATCCACCTGGTGTTGTTACATGGGAATAAGGGTGGACACAAAGAGAGGGACAAAGAAAGATTTAGTAAAATGTTCTATTCTTGAATTCTCCTCGTACAAAGGCTGTACTTGACCACGTAGTCTCTGAGGGCCAGGCTACCTGTTGACAAGGTGGCAAGAGAAGGAAGTACACACAAAGAAAGATTAAGTACAATTTATTCTGTCGGAATCGCTGTAGTACAGCTCAAGAACGCTAGACGGCTCTGCAGATCATTTCCAGCTCCGCTTTATCTTAATATGATATATTTAATAATACTTAAATATATTTGACAGTAACACCAATGTCGTCGTCACTCGTCAGCTGGATCAAGGTGTGATAATGGTGTATTTTTGAAACACCCTCTACATCAAGTTTTCTTTCCCGCCCAACTTCTTGCAATCCATGTTGAGCCGCCCCGTAGCCTTTGGCAAGTCTGCTTGCATCTCAAGTAAACATGGCTCTCTCACTTCCGGCGCCTTTCACTTAAGCCTTGTGTTCTTTATGGCTCGCACAAACACCGAGTGGCTGGCCGGATAACCTTTTCTCTCCTCACTACATTTCTCAAAAGCTTGTGTGTCTAAACAGTTAGTCTCCGTCGAACTAACAATGCCAGCTCAAAAATAGTAAAGTTTACCCAAAAGGGGAGAATAATTGCCCTGGGAAGTTTAGTCACCCTACAGTTCATTTGCCCGCTTCGGGAAAGAAAATTAAACCTCCCACGTACCGACTGTCCTGGCCAACAATCCTTCCTTTTCAGTTTGCTGAATTCTACGATCCGTGGCCCCGTAGGAAGGCCTGTCGGAGGCTATAGCTACTAAACTGTGCACTCTCCAAGCATAGGTTAGCCCTATTTGAGACGTCTTTATGCTTTTTACGAATTTCTATGCGTTTTGTTCGCTGTCTATTTTGTTGCCTTTTTTTCCGCTTCCTAATCTACGAAAAGAAAAGCCAGCAAAATAAAACGCCCGACCAAACGTCTAAACAAGCGTAACCTCGGCTTGGATAGTTTAAACAGTATTCCCTAGTGATCGTGCGTCAACCGTGCGAATTTCCGAAGACATTCGTAAGTTGGAGAAATATATCTGTCAATCCCTTAATTAAAACTAAACACGGTAGGACGAAAACGACAGTTACCAAATCTTGTCGCTAAGCTTCTAGAAAAAAAAAACATTTATATTTCTTTTGATAAAATAAACCTAAGGTACAACAAAGTATAAAAAAGAATAATCATTAACACAAATGTGTTCAAATAACCCCCATGGTACAAACAGTTTGACACCCTTCAACAAACGACATATCGCATGCCTTTGTGACACAAAGCTACATGTATGTCACAAAACGTCACAAGGAATATTAATCGGCAAACCTTTCTTGAAAAAACGATCACAATATGCAAAATCACAAAAACATCATTTGCCAAATTTCTTCTCATCCTGTCTATTCATGAAAAAACATCATATTTTCAGCATTACATCTACGTATGTGAAAACAACAAAAAAGTCAACAATTACACAACAACACAACTTTAAAAGACATGTAAATATTGAGAATAACACCAAAAAATTCTGTTCACACTCTCTACACCATTTACTGGGATTGTAACAAAAATGAGAAGAAGAAGAAAATTGATGTGTGTGCGGCATGCTTACCCAGCGCATAATCCATTGTAACGGGTTGGTTGGTTCACACACACTGCAGACAAAGTAATGGTCAGACGTGCACAGCCACCCCACAGCCTAGTGCAAAGCAAGACGGTTAGCCGACGGCTCGGCACACGAACATGCACTGTACGCTACGGGAGGAACTCAACAATATATGGTAGGGAAAATATCTAGTGGGACGGAAATCACGTCAAAGGTTATTTCCAACGGTTATCGGTGCCTAGGCGTGTGCCCAAACCACCAGACGACCACAGAAGGATTCCTTATACGGTATGTGGTGCAAAAAACACCCTTAAGACACCCCCATACATAACTTCACCCTGACTCTTGTGTGTTGCTTGTAATTGGGATGGTCCATTATTAAAGGGGAGGAGCTGATGTAAAATATTTAATATTGTTACTTCAAATCGTTATTAATATCAAAACCATCACTTTGAATGGATTATGATACGTGAGAAACGAGTTTTAGTTTTCATGATGATGTTTATAAAGGTGGTTGATATATATTTTTTTGATTGTTTGGAATCAATGAACACCCCTAAAGTGAAATGTAGCGGGCTGCACTTGTGAACCGGGCACATTCCAGAGCGCGGTGTCGGAAAGTTTTCCGCTGTGTGGGTCATGACGTACGTCAGCGGCGACCAGGAAATATATCATCCACTCCGCGGGATAGTCTCCAACCCAGGCCTCGCCGTGTGCCTCTTGATTTTGCATTGTTTCGTTGATATTATATCCTGTTTTCGCACTGCTATCGTATCCCGGTTTCTGTACTTGCCGGCGGTGGAAAATCAATAGTTTTAGAGAACAAAACAAAAAGAAATAACATTACAACTGCTATATCTTTGAAACTGGCAAACACTACTTGCAATGATGATCAAGAAGTCAGGTTTCATTTGTCAAAAAGCTGACAAGGATCGTTTTTATTGCGGACTAAAAATTTATAGATAATCATATAAAGCTCAGGACGGAAGTATAGAAACTGTAAGATTCCTCAAAACACTTGTCTCTTGTACAATTGTTGTGGAATTAAGTTTTCTGTGAAGAAACAAACACTATTCCAAAAGTACCTGATGTGGAGGCTATGAGAATAACGTGCGTACAAGATGTGGCGTGTTTGTCGTCTGCGGTTCTATCGGACGTGACGTGCGCTATGCCGTGGGAACCTTGAAGAAGATGCCACTGGGCAAGTACGGGCCAGGGACACATGTACCTCTGCCAACACAAGTCTTTTCTTATAATTAAGAAGACAAACCATGTCAGGATGAAAACATGTCTGTTCTCGTAGGGCCCGTATCGCATCCACTGAACTGTGCCTATTTAGTTCTGTGCTTGAAGGGCTTCGGGCTATGGTCTCAGCGTATCCATGAAAGGAGAGTTGCCCCGCGCACGGTTTTGGGTTATCCAGAACCGTGTCGGAGCATGGTTCTGGATAAAGCCTTGGCTTTGGATACAAATATATCTTGCAAATGTCGTACGATAGCAAACTGGGCATGGGTGTCCTGGGATAGTCGTGCATGTGTCGTCATCTATGGCGAATACTAGTATGTGGTCGCGCCAGTACCTACATGATGATGGGTGTCCAAATACAGTGTGTGTCTGTGAACCTTGAATCATAGCTGCGAGCAAAGTACAAAGTACTGATTGCAAACATGTGCTGTCCGTATTTCTGGTAAAAAAAGTTTAAGTTTTGATATATAAATGTCAATCGTGGTCATGATGAATGAGTAAACATAGAATCCTTATCTTTTTGAGACTCCGGAGTACGGAAGACAGGCATACCAAATTTACGTCATATCCCGATTTCTGGGAAAAATAAACATGATTTAAGAAGGTCAATACGTCAACTCTCATGTGGCATTACACAAGTCGGGGGCGGACCCGGATGTAGAGGGTGGGGGTCTATACATACAAGAAAATGACGGCATCACATTAGGCTTGTTGATATGATTATATGGATGACATCCACGCGCGCATGAATTTTCGTCAGTTTCCTAAGAATTTTGACCATACTGTAAATCGTGATCAACCTATAGTCGCCACACATGCCATTTTAGTCTTTCCTGGTTCTTCGGTTAGTTTATCTATAGGAAAAAAGGCTACAAGAAGTACGTCAAAGTTTTATCCCGCTCTCTGCAGGTGCCCACGCAAGTAATACAATAGTCTGAATTCAATTCTTCTGAAAAAGGGTATTCACCCGAACTCTTGTCATGGTCGTGAAGTGAGCGGAAGTGCGTCACAGTGACGTCACTCGACATCCGTCATCCATAACTGGAGAGCCAGCTGTCCGAAACCTCGCTGATCCAAATATACTAGAAAATGCCATTCACAATATGTATAGATAGGGCCTTGAGTCCTTGACGCACTTCCTTGTTCACACATTCTTGCCCATCAGACTGAACCTGACCGGTAATGCTGTCACCACTCATATCGGGCATGTCGGGCGGCCAGCAGGAAAGAACCTGCTCTTTGGATTTGCAACAAGTTAAATGTTACTTTAGAAGTATCACATACATCAAAATGCTCAAAACACCGTGGATAATCCACTGCCCACATGGCGTCAAAAGTCTGAAAGGCATTTAACCTTACCTGTACATGTTAAATGCTGATAAACGTTTTTTGAATACCATTGTCTGCGTATTGACACGGATATGTGTACCATCGGGACAGGGTGTTGGGTGACTTTGAGACACTAGTTTAAGTTCAGACCTAAGCATTAGGGTGAGATAGACCAAGGTGACTTGTATCATACCTATTGGCTAAACTACTCGCACATAGTCTACAGATTACCGATGTCTACTCTGGTCAAAATGTTTCTGTTCCATACCTCTTTGACGTTTGTCTTTACTCATCATTTCAATGGAAA